GACCTTGAGCAAAACCCTCGATACCTCAAAACCAACAAGCTCATCCATGACTGAGCAACCATAACCAAAGATAAAAGAAAGTCGGGGTTGGTGTTCACTGCAAGCAGAAACAACTTGGATAAGTAATAAACAAAGTTAATACGTTATTTGATAAACATGTTATTATTATTATTATTATTATTATTATTATTATATTATTATTATTATTTATTATAATTTAGTATTAATTTGTTTTAATTAATGTATGTTTATTGTTTTCTTTATTTTAGGAAAATATTCAACGAGAGGAGATGTTGATGCAAGAAGGGCTTAAGGATAACGAAAAGTTAAATGAAGAGCATTGTCTCACTCGTGCCCTCGGTAGGAGACGCGATATATTCGCAGTGTTGGAAGGAAACAAACATCAATATTTCCAATGTTAACTTTCCCAATCTTCAGTTGCTGTATTAACTCAACAAATGCAATACATGCAACAACAAATGTGTAGTAACACATTTACGTCCATCAATCCTAACTTCCAACCACAACCAACCTACAATTCCAATGCAATCCCAATACACAGACCAACATGCTTGAGGAGAAGGAGAACGAGGACGACAATGAGAACGAGAACAATGAAGATTCTAATTGATCTTTTATGTTATTTTTGAACAATGCTTGTTGAAGACTTGTTTTATTTATTTTAAGTTTTAATGGTGTGTTATGGTTATTAAATGTTTGATATTATTCTGCATACATACTGTTTGGATTTGTTTTAAAAAATAGGTTTGGTATATATAACAAAATCTATGAAAATATTAAAAAAGGTTATACAAACGACATATTGTGTAATAACTATTTCACCTTTATCGATGGCATGCCGTCTTTATTACTAAAATGGAAGTTGTCTGTCAACTGCTTTTCCAGACGACATATCGTTTGTATTGCTTAACCATGTCTCAACGACATGTCGTCGGTAACTGTGACCTTTATACCGATGACATGTTGTCGGAATAGGTTATAATAAAACTTTTTCTTCCTTAAAAGTCAGTCCCGACAATCTTTTGAAGATGACATGTCTTCGGCATTAGTGACTGTGTACCGACGACATTTATCCTAAGGACATTTTCCACTTTTACCGACGACTTTGTACAGATGACAAGTTGTCGGTATAGGCTTTTCCGACGAGATGTCGTTACATAGTTGCTGAAAGTGTCGTCGTATAGGCCTCATTCCTTGTGGTGATATTAAACCATAATCAATGGGGTTTTTTTCCACATTTAACAGTAACTTGTTTCTATACTTTTTGACAATTGATTAATTATGATTAGATGGTTTAAGAAGTTTAATTGTATACATGGCTGTTAAAAATATAGCAATCATGAAAGTAATTTTTATACGTTCGATATTATGTTCGCATTATATAAGAACTTTAGAGATGAAATGATCAAATTTATGTTTTGTAAAATAAGTTCAAAGTTTTAATCAGGCTAATTGGTAAACATTCATTTGAATGTATCTGTTGCTAACTGATATATTATAACTTGTATGAAACAAGTTACAAACTTATAATAAATTAATATCTACCTTTAATAACCATGCATTAGGTTTAGGAGAAAACGTTTAAAGAAACTAAACAATATTAATTATTATCTGTAAATGTAAATGTAGAGGTAGCCAACGATTTTTCTCTTAAACCCTAAAAATATATGTAACAATATTACTGGTTCACTTCATAAAAATTGATAAAACTAACATCATTTGAAAAGACATAATACAAATCTTGAACAGGAGAAGTCTATTTTTTCGTTGCCGACATTAAACGACAAAGACTTTTAGGGAAATAATTATATAAATAATAAGGAGTAGTACGGACTAAGGTCATCTTTCACAAGGTGCATTCGTTTCAATCGCTTACAATAGTTTGCACGGATTATACATATATATAACAGAGAGATAAAAATAGTATTTTAGTGAGAGACGCCGGTGATCAGAAGTTAGAACTTAGGGTTAGAAGATTGATTCATCCATCGGCCGGGAGAGAGAAAATGGGGCGGAGGAAACTCGAAATTAAGCGGATCCAAGATAAGAGTAGCAGGTTAGTGACATTTTCAAAGCGGAGAACGGGATTATTTAAGAAAGCACGACACCTGTCCGTGATCTGTGATGTTGATGTCGCCGCTTTTGTAATCTCCGATAGCGGCAAGCTCTATGAGTTCTGCAGCGGTGGCTATAATAGTAACAGGTGCATTTCGTTGTTTTGTACATTATCCAGCATGATTTTTTTGATTTTCTTTCCGAAAAACTGTTCCTACATATGTGTTTTTATTGTATCTTTCTCTATACATGCTGTTCTAATTTAGATATAAATATGGGATCTCTGAACTACATGATGGCATTTCTAGGGTTTTCACAACTGATTTTTTGTCTGAACTAACGATATGTTTAATGCCATACTCTTATAATTAGAAATGCATGTAGATCTTATGGTCCATTTTATTCATCCGACTATCCAAGTAGTAATTAACCACCTATTCTTGGTGGCATGTGGAGATTCAAAGCCACTTGTGGTGAAAATAATGTACATGTTTGCTTAGTATCTGTTTCCATTTTTTCCATGATAGTAACAACATATATATGTCCTTGTAGGTTTTATAGTATACTAACTAGTTGTTACTTTGGTTCAATGGTTTTGAGCACGTTGTTAGTAGGAACCTGAGGTGTAGATAGTGGTTACACATTGATTAGAAACACTCTACTCTTAACAATTATTAATCATGTTATTTATTAGGGTTAATGTTGAAAAAAAACCAACTTCACTATCTAAAAGTTCCACTACAAATTCTCTTAACTATTAAAGTCTATCAAGTATTTCACTCAAACCAATTGTCACAATCACTAATTCCTAATCAATTAAGTAATTATCATAAATCATTTGACAGTAATTATTTTTTTTCTTCAAACTTGAAGCTTGATTAAAAATATATAAACAAGTTAGCATTCAAGCAATGATTTTATTCATAGAAATTAATAAAAACAAACACAACTCATTCCTAATTAACTAATAGTACCACTAATTAAACCCATTATTGGAAATAAAAGTTTAGCTACGCATCTTAAACTAATAATATAGATTGTACTAATGAATTAAAGGAGAAAATTGATGAAAAATTAACAAATCAAAAGTTGCATGTTGCCTATGACTAATCCCCCTCCCCGACCCCCACCAAATGAAAAAAAATCCCTCAGCTGTTAAGTTGGTTTTTTAAAAATTATTGAGTACCTCATAAGGGTGGTGTATTTTTCGTTCTATATTTTGGCTATAAAGGTTGCTTGTTTAAACACTTTTACTCCTTGCTTAGGGTAGTGAGCATTAGGAGACTTTCCAATTTTGATCTTTTAATGGACTTCTTTAAAAACTTTGTTCAACTTTCGGGTGTTACCTCAATTTTAACACAAAACACAAAAATAAAATCATTTTTAAAACATCTTTCATACAAAGTGATATACTTTAACACTATAAAAAGATGTCAAATCATATTATATAATGTTATACTTACAACGAAACTATAAAATAATAAATTCGGGTTTTTACATTACATAAAGACTATTAAAAGAAATCACATATAAGTCCAATATGTTATTTATAAGTAGATAGCCCCTTATTTCATAGGGGGTAGTTGTTTGTACGTTGTCGAATTGAACCTTAGTTATAACAGACTCTCTTGTAAAGACAATTACTCATCATATGGACAAGATGACCATATTTATAGCAAATGTTCTATCATGCATTTTTTAGCATGATTCTTATTACATTTGGAACAATTTGGTTTATCAAGTGTACTTACGCCTTCATTTAATGGATTCTTGAATGTTTGACTAGAGTTCCTCCATTCGAACTTTCTTTTCTCATTTAGATGACGATTGATTGGTACTTAACCATGCTTCTGAACAAAGATTTTTAATTACATGACTTCTTGAGAGGTTTTGGTCAACATATATTGACAAAATTTCGTAAATAAATTCTTAAACCTTGCAGAAAAAGACTACATTACAAGGTTATGTGACCACCTTATCTATGAATACAATGAAATTGGTGTTGCTTATATGATACCATAACTAAATGGAATAGTTTTAAATCAATGGAGATCGTTTAACTTTAACATAGTTGAATCAAACCATACTCGTTGATTGAGGGTTCATTGGCAGGTTTAAAAACAACTTTCCATGTAGCTATGTGTCCTCCTTTTCTTACTAACTTAGAAGGACTAATAGTTGTGAGTTCTTTGTAGTTGCATCCACGAGTATAGAAATTCTCACGATTATGTCGATCGATCCATGTTTGTAGGGATGAGCAAAATACTCAAAAGAACCGAATCGAGACCAAATATGAAAAATGGTGTGGTTCTTAGTTCCTTTTTTCATAAAAATTATATTTCGGTCCCACGTTTCTCGATTTTTTCATGTTTGGAACCAGAATTGATTTCCTAACTTTGAACAATCATAACTTGTTCATACAAATTCCGAATGAGCTGATTTTTTTCCCAACATGCAGTTCTATGTCTATGATATATTATAATATTATGAATCACCTTAATTAGTTAAGACTTTACAGAGTTAGACAATGCTAAATAAAGGTTTTTAAGGATGTTGGGGGTTGTTTACAACTGTTTGAATAATTTTTTACCCAACATTGAATAGCCTTAACTTGTTAATACGAACTTTGAATTAGCTTATTTTTTCCAACATGTAGTTCTCTATTATGGCTACTTTTTAGGTTGTTGAATTACCTTAATTTTCTAGGATGACTTAGTTACATAACCCTAAACATGAGCTTTTGGGGTTGTCTCTAACATTTTTCAGAATAATTTGTCTAACTTTAACAACCGTAAGTTGCTCATACGAGTTCCACATGAGCTGATTTTTCCCATTATATAGCTTTTTACCAATATACATTAGGGTCGTTTTCCCAAAATAGAAAACTTACTAAATAAAAGTGTTGTTTTTATATAATTTAATCTAATGTCGACTAAAGATTTAAATAACAATAAAAATTTATTAAATTAATTAACAAAACATAAAAATAATACATAAAAGATTACAAGATTAAAGAAAAGAAAACTTACAATATGGATCCATGGATATGAGATCCTTACACACTTCTATGGAATTGAAAAACTTCTACAACTTGAAACTCAAATACAAAACTAAGGAAATTTAAAGAGAGAGATGAAATTTTACGGATGCCTTCTTCAACTAGGCAAGACTCTATTTATAATCAAGCGTAGGACTTGAAAATCGGACATCAACTTGGTTCTTTACTGGAAAATGTTTTTTATGTTTTCTTTCAGCATAAGAATCATTTGTCTTTATTTTCTCAATCAAATTCTCTAAAAAGTGACCGTAAAGATTCCACTTGATTTGTAGAGATTCTACATTCTTTGGCTGGATTTGGAATTTTTTTTATTGATTTCGTTTTTTTTCGTTCTTCTTGCTAAATGCACCATCTTTGGAATTGATACTTGCAAGTTCATTTGTTAGTTAATCTCCTTGTTCTTCCAAACTAGGATTGATACCATCCATATCCTCATTATAAAAATATCACTGTGAAGACATATTATTATCATCTTCCATACAGAATTCTATAAACATTTTTTTTCTCTTTTTTGGATTAGTTTATTTAATTCATCATGGGAAATGATTGGATTTTCTCTTATTATTTTTTTCCGTGTAATAGACTATAACAACTTATCTTCGTTTTCGCATAGTTATCTACCTCATAAGATTTTAATTTTTTATTATTATCGTGCTCTACGATAACAACCATGACTTGGCCAATAACATATTTAGGGTTGAATTTTTCCACCATTTGACATAATAGGTTCTCTTCAAAGAGAGAATATTTGCATAATTTTGTAAAATATATAGTCTATTGATCGTTATCCATGACACCTCGTATTTTGATAGTCAAAAGCACGAATTTGTTTAAAAATAAGAACATATTTTCCCTTTCTAGATCTTTTTGGAAAATTTCTTGTAGATGGCACAATCTCTCCCATGTTGATAAGAATCAATTTGAAAAATATGTGTTAAAATCAAAGTTTTTAACAAACATAAAGAACAAGCTATGATTTCTTGTTGAATTATGATGACGAAAAACATACTTCCATGCTTTGATATAATTATAATATGTAATACTACATTGGTTTTCAAAATTTTCGCTTGTTATAATCCTTAATTGGTATGGGCTTGTACCTCATTCATTCAAGGGCTTTTTTTTATTTTTTTTATTTTTCTATTCTTGCCTTATTGGAGGCGATTTTTTCCTAACACCTCTAGATAATTTTTATTTTATGATGACAAATCGTGAATCATGTCATTTTCAAAATCTATTCATAACAATCTAGAGACAAGGTTTTTAACCTCTTTTTTGTAATTTATTTTGTTGATTTCCAATCAGTTCTTAATATGAATTCTTCATTTAGCAACTCCTCTTGGAATTTGGATATACATTCAATAATAGAGAGCATCTTTTTTTAATGGTTGAATATTTTTGGGAGCATCATTCCACTTACCAGAATTGAATAGGATCAATTCCTCTTTATTTTTGTGAGGATTTATTTGTTTCAGAATGCATCTGCATCACATCTGATATTAAAAGCACCTATTTCTACTACATTTTCCGAATTATTATTGGCGAAAAGCATGAGATTTTTTTTTACTTTAAACTTACTTAATTTACAGCTTTCATATGTTCTCCACAAGAAGAAAGATTTTTTTATAAATGACACTATCTATAGTAAGATCTTTATAAAAGTCAAAAATATAATTTATGTTTCTTAAAAACCTTTGTAATTAAGTTTGATCTTTAATCTCATCAGACAATTTATTTTCAAAGTTTATAAATATGTTAGTGAGAAGTTTTTTTCCTTCTTCAATTTCATGACTAAGGAAACAAACGTTTCTTTGAAAAAAAAAATTTATTTTCTTTCATGAAATAGTCAAAAGATTATGTTTGATAGTTTAGAAGAAAATATTCAAATGTTTACAAGATTGATTACTATTTTTAGAAAATATCATAGTATTATCAATATAAACAATCAAGTAAACATGTGATATATCATTCATAATATTTTGAAAGAGACATTTTTTTAGTACAAATGACATAACATTTCATTCAAGGTACCATAAAAGTGGTCTTTCTTTTTCATGAATTTGAATTTGCCAATATCTTGATTTTAGATC